CCAGCACCCCCATCCCAACTTCTCTCTCCCACATGCAGGGCTGGGGGAGAGAGAGAGGGTGCTCCAGATTGTACAATGAAGCTTTATTAACTCAGGGTTGGACAGGACAAGCTAATAATTTCAGTGACAGTACTAAACGTGCAACAACAAAATGCAAGTAGTAGTTGATGAAGCATATTTTGAACATAAAAGTATAGAACTCAAATTTACCGAGCACAATCAGCTCTACATAGAGGTTTAGGCTCATGATGGTAGGAAGGCAAACTTCAGCTGAAACCAACTCCTTTCCCTTCCAAGAATGCTTTACTAAAATTGCACATTTTGACTACACAATTATATGGACAGACACTATTAATGCCCCATTTCCAGAATTGATCACCCTTGCCGTTCAGAAGAAATGTGTGTGTATGGGATGATGTGTAAAAGAAAAGACACATCACTTAGGTATTTTTAAAAGCTCAACAACAAAGGCAGAGAAGAAGCATCACACTAAACCAACATCCCATGTATTAAATCAGAACTGAGCACTCTGGGAAGGGCAAAGAAAATTACTTTGGTCCTGCAGTCATTGTCGGACAGGTCGATGCTGTGCAAAATTCAGTAAGGGTACCATACAAAATGTTCACCTGATTAAAAAAGTCAACAGCTGTAGAAAAAGGAAAACAAATGATATGAGGTTAACTGCAATGTTGCAAAAGATAGCCTAGCATTGACACTACAAATGTATGTCAGTGGACTTGAACATACACGTCCAAATCTATGCGTCTACATGTAACCATATAACAAATAACAGAAGCAGAAACCTAGATACTAGTAATATCATCCAAACAAGTGTTTTCTGGAGTCAAATGGATTAGTGGGATAAAACAATCCTATTAATGGATTAATCATAGAAGAATTTTTTTACGAGTGCTGATCTTAGTGTAGATGGAGGGCAGCATAAAGTTGGCATATGCAAACACTTGCATGATCCTAATTGATCCAACAAAATAAGCAATCATGCTTCAAGTTGCAGCTTAAACAACAGGATCATGGAGTTTTGAATTTGTTCTTCCTTCTTAAGGATTCATATTTGAACCTTGGTTCCAGTCTTACTAATGTTTTCCCATCACTTTTCTATAGCATTTACTTTAATTTATACACACCATTTACTATGGCGTTGAATTTTATCAGAGTTACTTAACTCGGCTAGTCCTATACAGTTAATATAAATACTTAGAGAAACATTAGTTTTCTTTCCTTTTTTGGATGAACATGCACAAGGGAATACATTAATTTGCTTTCACATAATCACCATGTTGCAAATATCACATCGGGATCATTTGAAAGTTTCCATAAGAAAAATACAAAAAAAAAAAAGTAACAGGAATTCATACTTTCTAAAACACAAAGTTATTATAGTTGGAAAGTTATAAGATTGAAATTCTTACTATTCACAGCCAGCCACTCATTAAGATCTTCCCCAGGGGGTAGTCGCACAGCTTCTCTCAAGTTGCCACTACCCAAGGTAGCATCAATGTGCCTTTGGAGTTGCGCCCCCTGCATTTCAAATAAAGTCAAAACGGAAATGGTATAGTAGCATCACCAAAGAGGTAAACGCCAAAGTCCATGCAATTGATATTAAAGCTTTGCTACTTTGAGTTTTAAACAAAAGAGTAATTTCATCAAGAAAAACAAGTGAACAAAAATGAGAAAAAAAAAAGTAGAAAAGAAAATGAATTAGCTACAGAAGCTTAATGTAGAACACTGACCTTACTTCCTGATGGAGCACTTTTTTTAGGCCGAAATGTCTTTTGGTTTCTGCACTTATCAAAGTCAGGAGTGCATTAGTATTTCTTTTATTTAAAAAAATTCCATACATTAGAGGCAAGGAATAAAAACAGATAATAATCAAATCAACACGAGCATAAATAAGGTGTTCATATACATAAGCAATTAATAAGAAAAATAAGTTCAACAATTCATTTGAAGCTCATTACTCCGGCAAAATTTAAGGGGCATAGGAAACTCAAAGCACGTGAGAAACATGTAGGCCTTAAAACACCATGGGTTTGTTTTTTTTCGAAAATCTTTCCCAATACTCACCGTTCATTTGAGAGAGTTATTGATACGCTGAAAGACTTCTTAGAAATGAAAAAGATCAAGATAAGCCTTTAACAAACAAGTTTGCTCCTTTTACTGAAAAGTAAGCAAAACTCAAGAACATAACTCGCCAGGCTACCATGCATACATTTCAATTTGTTCAAAGGAAAAAAACTTAAATTTTTTAATGAAGTAAATCATTTGACTCTATACTCCCAAGTGAAGCCAACAGCAATGCCGAAGAATTGATGTCCAATGAAAAAACACGTACCAAGATTTATGGGCCAAAATAAAGTTTGCCAAAGTTTTCGATTAGAATTGTTGCATAAATTACTAATTATTTTTTAAACAAATATAATCATGGTAATGAACACTTGAAAGTATCATAGACCCCATATCGTCTATAATTAAATCAACTTGAAGTCTGAACATCAAAATCCGGTGTTATAAAGGTTAGCATCTAAATTCTGCCCCTTAATTATTTCGTCATAACACAATAGCTCAAATCAACAGGTGTCAAGATTCCTTCTCTGATTCATAGGGAAGCTATAAGGACAACCGAGACCCATAGAATGTGTCAACCCCCTCACCTTGTAATTTATTAATCAATACCTTGAGAAGCAATCCAATTGAATTATCATCCATAATCTTCCTAGTCAGATGAAATTAGTTTTGATTTCGGTCTTATCAGCAAAAAATAACGCAACCCACAGACATATAAATCAAAATTCACAATCATTTCATATTTCATCGTCATCAAACAATCAAATACAAAAAATTACCAAATATCTCCAAACATTAACGCATAGTATACATTCATACACCTATCTTATAATACATACATGCATGGACGATGAAATATACATATGACATAATCAGAATATTTTCAGAAATTGAAATAGAGATCGAAACGCAAAGGAAAAAAAAACCTGTTTCCAAGTCCGAACAGACTCATGGTAACAAGAGCTTTGAAATGGACCTATTAGAGTTCAAGGGTTCCTTTTGTCTCTCCCTCACTCTAGCAATCTCTCTCCCTTTCTCTCTCGCAATACAAACGAAAAACAGAGAGAAAGCTTTTGAAGAAGAAATGAAGGGTATATGTATGTATGTGTATACGTATATATTCGTATTTATACATATATATATATATATATACATATATATATATACGTATACAATGCTGGATAGAGACAGAGAGAGATAGCCAGATAGGTGTTAAATGACAGACTGGCATTAGAGAGGTCAAGCAATACCTCTCTCTCTAAAAACAGTAGTAATTCAGAACCAGCCAGGTCGTCTTCTTTGGTTGCCATTGCCAGCCTACCTGGCTGATTCTCCTCCGAAAATATTAATTTTTGCGTTTTTTTATATACTTTCACTCGGACCCAAAACGAGTCTAACTAGAAACGTGGCAGGTCTGGATTGATTGAGTCGATTTTATTCTGACATATCAGAAACATGAAATCAATCGTCAGTGATGTACTCAAGGATTACCCAAGATTTGGAACATCAACGTTCAGCATTTTGGAAAAAGTACACCAACAACCCTCATAGTTTGGCCTTATTCATGTTCTACCTTCTTATTAGATAAAATGACACTAACACCCTTTATCAGGGTATGTCGGGTCATTAATAGGGCATGCATATATTTTTTTTCTATATTTACTCCACAAGTAATATTTTTTTTTTCTATGTGTGATCTTCTTTTATACTCTGTTAAGTGCTAGGATTGCTACACCTAAGTAGAACGAAAATTTCAAAAAACAAAGTTAGAGTATTTTTGGCTATTAGCAGCGCATGTAATGCGTTGCACGTGAATAATTTTTATATACAGAATATTAATAAAAAAATATTAGGTATATGTCTATCTACATTAAATATCATATCAAATTTTTGAAATTATTTTTTTATCACTCATATTATATTATAGAATTCAAAAAATATTGTATGTTTCCAGCAATACGTTATTTTAATTATAAGAAAAAAGATAAAAATAATTTATTTAAAATTTATTTGATTAGGTTTCATCTTATAATTCATTGAATAAGATAAAAATAATTGTCAATGTTCTAATTAATGTTTACTATAATTAGGAATTAGTTCGGTCAATAGGAATAAAATATAGGATTAATTATACTTTTGGTCTCTAAAGTATATATGTGTGATTTTTGTCAGCTTAGTCTTCAAGATATAAATTTTGTCAATTTAATCTCAAAAATATCTAATTTTTATTTAAATGGTCCATAATCAGACAATTTATTAAATTTTTTGACGAAAATTATCACATGTGATTCTATCAAATAATATCATATAATCAAAATTTGATTACTTCTATCCAAAACTTAACAAAGTCCCGTACGAGGAGCTAAGAGCAGTAAAGGGCAAAGGGACTCACCACCCATTCCCCCAAAAGCTCAATTTTTATATCTATCCTAAGTATCTTTTTTCAACACGAATATGGAAACAAGCACCAAAAGGCAGAAATGGCTCCACAGAAAGTACAGACCGAATTTCACAATTCAGATAAATTACAAAATAAATAAATAAACAGATTTGACAAATTCCAACAAACTGTACCAAAGAAAATCGCAAAATTCTATAATTTGGGTTCAGATCCTAATGATTTGTGGGATTAGATAGTTCTTTAGAATCTTAATGAATTTTAAATCTTGCAAACCAAACAATAGAATGGGCATTACCATGAAATGTCCATTCTATTCTTAACAACTAATATTACATACTAAACACAGTGTTAGAGTTTAACTTAGATTCATTAGTAAAACAATTTTTTAGTTGCTAGATATTAGATAATAACTCTTGTGGCCGGATAATGTTTTTCAAAGAGTTATGCTATCGAAACTTACAAAATTGATCCAATTGTTGAAACAGAGGTGCGCTTGAAGTGGGGGGAGTCTGTCCCTATTGGGCTGGGCCCTTCCCCATAAAGCCCCACCATCGCGCCCTCCCTCTTGCTACCCATATGCGAGGCGTCATCTTAGCCTTTCCAGAGTAGGTTCGCTCCTATATTTGTAACGTTCGTGATTGGCCTCCTCATCTGTGTAGCGATGGAGTGTTTGATCATCTTGCTTCAAAAGGGAAGTAGTACTNTGATTGGCCTCCTCATCTGTGTAGCGATGGAGTGTTTGATCATCTTGCTTCAAAAGAGAAGTAGTACTCAGTGTCGACACAGGAAACTTCTGAAAGTTATGTCAGTGATCTTTCAGATCAAAATTGGAGAGCTTTTTATGCTTTTCTTCTTTTGTTACAATACTGTAAAAATCTTTCTTTTTGTTTCTCAATGTTATTAAAATTGATTGTAAGTAGGACTTCATCGGTTTTAATTTTAGATGTAAAAACTATTATTGGACTTTAGTTACAAATATAAATTTTACTTGTCAATGTCACAAAATTGATCACATTTTACAAAATTCTCAAGATTTTGAATATGTCCTTTCTTATTTGTGAGATAAAAAAAATAATTCTTTTAAGTGTCAAAGAATAAGAGAAATAGTGAGGAAGATACTATTAGGAAGGTGGGGTTTTATTTTTTTATTTTTTTGGATTTGAAGAAACAATTATATGCAAGTATAAATGAGAAAAAAATATTTTCAATTTATACCCTTTGATATTCACTTCATATGGTCCAATAATATAATTATAATTAAAACCCTTGAACCTAATTGAGACTATATCATTTGATATATCATTAGGTAAATAAATTAATCAAAATTTTAAATCCCAACAACGTTACTCCCTAGATGATGGTGTGATATGCAAGAGTACACAAATAGTTACATTGTATCTATTAGAGAAGAAGAGATTTTAGAGAAGATTAAATTACGAAAAAAAAAAAAATACTATTTTTTGTAATTATCCTGAAAAAATGGGCGTCCAGGGTCCCTTCTCACCTCCCACCTCCCACACACACAAAAAGTACATCTATTCAAGAAAACACTTGAAACTGGAACGAAAAATTATTAACCAAATATGCTAAATGTGGCCTTTAGTTACTACATCACTCTTTTATCTTTTAATGAAATGTCAAATACTACAATTAAGGCCACATAATTAAATTGGTGCCACATTGTGTTGAATATTCAGTACTATCAGACTCCACATTAACGTACAAATTATTTGTTTGACTATTATTTCTTTTTTTTTTCTTTTTTTCCCCTATGCATATTGAGAAACAAACCTAGTAAAACATGAACAGTTATCCAATTTATTCAGGTAAAAAAGCCCTAGGCTAGGCCTTCCCTTGAAAGAAATGTTGCTTATTACAAACTGACCACCACTTAGATTCCACTCTTCAAGCTTATATTTTGGCACATCGACCAACAAACAAAAGCATTTCACGAGACACTTGAGACAACAATATACCTCGAAAAACCAAACCACCGCAAACATACTAGATCGTAATCGTGTGCTACCAATCCTTAATCAATCAACATACATAATTCAGAAACATGAAAATGCCAAATTCTCCAAGAGATTTAGAGGCACAGAGAGGGTTTTACTGCTCAATTAGTGCCACCAAGGACAGCCTTGAGCTTCTTCACTTGAGCAAAATCAAGGAAAGTGACCTTCACCACCAATTCAGTAGGCAAATCGTTTGCAAACAACGCGAAATCAGTGATTTGGAGACCCGGGTTGGGGCTACTGAAGCTCGCAAATGCAAGAGCAGGTATTTTCCCTGAATTAAATTGGAAGTGCAATAATCCCTGTGGAAAAACCATTATATCTCCTTTGTTGAGAGTTTTAAAATAGACAACATTGGCGGAAGAAGATATGAACCCTGCACAAATAGTCCCTTGGATAACAATTAGGACCTCTGATGCTCCAGGGTGTGTGTGCAATGGAATGACACCATCTACAGCGAGGTCTAACCTTGCCGTNCAAGTAGGACCTCTGATGCTCCAGGGTGTGTGTGCAATGGAATGACACCACCCACAGCGAGGTCTAACCTCGCCATGGACAGGCCAAGGCCATTGACACCTGGAAATTGAGCGACAAAGGCCGGGGTCACGGCTGCTTTGATGAGATTGCTAGTGTTGCCGGCAACACCCAAGCCGGAAAAAACGAAAGCGTCTACAGTGACTGTGGAAGGCTTCTTGCAAGGGTAACCCGAAGGAGTATCTGACAATGATAGGTCTGCGACGCAGAAGTCTTGCACTGAAGCTTGAGAGGAGGAGAACAGGAGTGCAAAGGTGAAGAGGATTGTGAGAAACATCTTCATCAAGTGTGTGAGTGTGTGTTAGGCCTTTTAGAATGTTTAACTTTGATGGGGTTTGATTCATTATATAGAAGGTGATAGCAAGGGCCGTCAAGTGGTCAATGTTGTTTTCTGTTTTTAAGCCATGTATGTTGTATTATGTCAAAACTTGTTTAACTAATATCTAATTCATTTATAAAATCGTGTGTAGTCAAATTCGTCTCGTGTTTAGTTAAATTTGTGTCGATAGTTATACTTAACATATTTGGCCGGTTCACTAATTTACTATTCGAATTCGCTAAGACAAAACTTAAGCTCACTAACTCGTGTGGGATTCAGGGGTTGTGTGGTGAATTCATACGCTTAGTGATACCAGGATATATTATTGGGGACTAATAGTATCAATCCCTAAAGATGTGGCCATGAAATCTATCACGGGCATACACTGTAGATTAGGAAGGAAAAGACAGATTCTTGGCTGTGATGCATTCAAGTCTATGATTTTTATCAGACAAAAACAAGAAGTCACTTTTTGTTTGGACTGTAGGAAAAGATAAGCATATTCCGTCAATGTAAAAGATATTCATTCAAAAATAAGTATATGGTTAACAAAAGTTTAAAACAACCCTTTTTCGAGCAAGGCTTTAGAGCATTCTCACTGATTTTGATATTCTCATTGATCCATCTCATTTTCTAGTGTGAATCTATTCTTTCGTTGGTTGTCGGTTCTAAATAGTTAAAACAACACTCGGTTAGTTGAATTTGGATATGTTTTCTTCCTATGTATGCTTTGTGTGTCATATTCATATACTAGTAATTGCCCGTGTCTGAAGGCACAAAGTAATAAAAAAAAAATTGTGATTAATTAAAATGCATACTAAATCAAAATAATTTGTATAACACATAAAACTATCTGTTCAACAATACTACTACTAACAATATATTATATATAATTATGACTATATACGTTAATATTATACCAAATAATTGGTTTAACACATAAAATCTCAGTAGTTAATATAAACCAACTTTTATCTTTAAAAAAATTTCGATAGAGTTCTCCTTGAAAACATGATTTAATTGACAATATCAACCTCTGTGTACAACTCATAATCAAACCTTTCTATAAATAAACACTACCTTAAATCAATAATCTCGTCACATCACATTAATATCGCTATTACCATTATTTATCAACTGCTGCAATTTAATAATTCGAAACATCTAATACAAAACGAATAAAATACAAATTATAAACTAAACTAACACTAAACTGGGGCTAATATCAATAATTAAATACATTTACTCATGTCGTAGAAGCCAAATAACCTGAAAAATTAATATATTGTGTCTCCTAGTTAGTTGTCATGTCTAAGGGTACTTTATAATACAAAAAAAAAATCATTAATTAAAATCAACTAATTATTAATTAAAATCATTAATTAATTGAGAAAATTGATTTTCAATTTAAGAAGTTTGAAATCACCTCTATCTTATTAGTATAGATGAGAGAGAGAGAGAGAGAGAAAGAGAGTTAAATAAGAGATAAGGAGTCTTACAAAATTTTGGCAGGAGGAATGTTGGATCAATAATCGTCAAGAAATCTGAACTGTAAAAAGTTAAAGATAAAAAAATCTAGAATCCTAGGTTTGAGGCTTTCTTCCAAACTCTAGCATTTTAACCTATTATTTCAAACCTCAGTTCTTCTTTTAAAATTTCATTGTCAAATACAACTTCAAGTAAACATGACAATAAGATATAGTTAAATTTCAAAGTTAAAACAATACTTGCTAGGAGTAGGTAAGCTTGAAAAACACAACTTCAATGCAATAATAGGAATCGAAATCAAACTTGTAATTTAACAACAATCTATCCCACAAACAAGATTTTTGATACTTGTCTCTAAGACCATTGTGGCTTTGCAATTTTTAGGTTCCTTTGTTAATCTGTTAAATGTTGTTAGAAACTATTATGCATATAGATGCAAAACAAATATCTTGTCAATCAATTTTAGGAGAGAATATGAACATATGTAACGCGGTTTTGAACATAAGAGTCTAAAGACAGAAAGAAAAATGCAAGAATGTGGTCCATGAGCACATGGGGAAGATAGAATTGAGGGCATAAGAAGACATTTGACAACTAAAAGGAGTCTCTGCAAGTCTTTCTGATCTTTGTCATTTCTTGAAAAGCTTTCCATGAAACAAATGAGTGGATATTAGAGGTTCCCTATCCTCTAGGGAATACGGAATTCATTTAACAAAATACATACTATTCTGCTGTGTTTTTTTTTAACTGTAAGATTTTTCGAGGATCAACCTTCTTGTTAACAGTAGGGATTTACCTATATTTTTCTTACATTTTACAGGTCAAAGAGAGGAGAAAAATATCCAGTAAATAGCTTGTATGTCAAATATAATGAATCATTGTTCCACTTTTTCATTATACTGAATAGGCCGTTAAGAGTTATTTTCAATATTTTGAAATGATGATCTGCTTGCTTTGTCTGTGAACATAAATTTTTGGGTTGAATCACTTAATCTCTCGTATTATGCTTTTTTCTATTTCGTACCACTCTTAGCTTGTAATCTCGTGCATAACAACCTTCTATTTTCTAAGAACACTCTTATTAAATATGCATGTTTACACGTCGGGATATACTTTTCTTGTCAATTCAGGATGTAAAAATACGCAAGTGAAGGCATCTTCGAAACTATGCTCAGTTCATGGGCATTAGAATTGGCTGGTACTTGTATGGGCACACTACAACACAAAAGAAAGGACAAAGAAGATTTGAATGATTCAGAAAGGAAAAAGGGTCAAAGGTCATCTAGAAATTCCACAGGCATTCAAAACATTTCAAATTCTTAGATTTTTTTATCGAAGAAGAGGATTAGATTGCGAGTGAGCAATGAGCTTGAGTCGATAGCAATTCAGCGTTTTGGATGCAAAAAATAACACCAATGTGTTTTCTCGGGAAAAAAAATAAAGCAGCGAAGTGCACACGAGGCTTCTGACACTATAAAAAAATTGTTTACATAACTCGAATTTATGACACCCACGTTTAAGATGAAAGAACCTTGGATAAGGATAGAACAGTATTTTAATTTACTTTTTCCTACCTTTCAGACAGCTTGGATCATGGACAATTCACTGCAAATGTACCAGTGGTTCAGGATGGAGACTTATACAAGTTATTCAAACATGTTTGATGCCATAGTGGATGCTTCTTATTGGGCAATGGAGAAAGAGGGTGTGACTAACCTGGATGTGGCGGTATCTGATCGAGAGGCGCTGGCAGGGACGGACTGATTAGTGGGTTATGTTAGGCGGAAGCCCAAAGTTAAAAAAAATTATCACTTTCATACAAGATTATTAGTACTAGTCTACTAAATCACTAATCATTAGCCCAATTTTTCAAAACACCAATAATCATGGAAAAAAAAAGTTTTTCAGAATTTTTNAAAAAAAAAAAAAAAAAAGCAGCATTCTGTTATTATTTGTCTTGTGTTTCTCAGATGATAATGGATTAATGTGATTCATCCAGGTAATTTCAACAAAAACGTTTGAACACTTGGGGAAATAGACGAACAATGTTCCAAATGCTGCAGCCTCCTTTATTGTTCATCTTTTCCACCAAGTGTCCGAATATTATTTCAGAAAACAAATATTAGGGCATTTTTGGTTATTAGCAATACACTACGTACGTTTCACGTGAATAATTTTTATATATAAAATATTAATAAAAATTTTTAGGTATACGTATACCTACTTTAAATATCATCTCAAGTTTATCAAAATTAAATTTTTATCGCTCTTATTATACTATNCTTTGGCCGTTGGCCTTCCGGTGTGAACAGTAATTTCATGAACTCCGGAGCTTGCAGCAACATATTACAGGAATTTCATGGAACATGTTAGTTATGGAAAATGGGACACCAAAGAGACAAGAGGCTTACATAGAAACTATCAACACAAATAAGAATCTTTATCCAAACATGTAGGTTGAACGAAATTAGTGTTAACTTTATTTGCTATAAGGATATGTTAACTTGATTTGTTAAAAAGTGCAAGATTTAATAAGAAGCACTCATACCCCTCCCTCGCCCCCCGAAAAAAAAAAAAAAAAGCAGCATTCTGTTATTATTTGTCTTGTGTTTCTCAGATGATAATGGATTAATGTGATTCATCCAGGTAATTTCAACAAAAACGTTTGAACACTTGGTGAAATAGACGAACAATGTTCCAAATGCTGCAGCCTCCTTTATTGTTCATCTTTTCCACCAAGTGTCCGAATATTATTTCAGAAAACAAATATTAGGGCATTTTTGGTTATTAGCAATACACTACGTACGTTCCACGTAAATAATTTTTATATATAAAATATTAATAAAATTTTTTAGGTATACGTATACCTACATNACGTACGTTCCACGTAAATAATTTTTATATATAAAATATTAATAAAATTTTTTAGGTATACGTATACCTACTTTAAATATCATCTCAAGTTTATCAAAATTAAATTTTTATCGCTCTTATTATACTATGGAATTCAAAAAATATTGTTTGTTCTCAGTGAAACATTGTTTTAATTATAAGAAAAAAGATAAAAATAATTTATTTAAAATTCATTTGATTTGGTTTCATCTTATAATTCATTGAATAAAATAAAAATAATTATCAATATTTTAATCAATGTTTAGTATAGTTAGGAATTAGTTAAATCAATAGGGATAAAATATAGGGTTAATATCATTTTTGGTCTCTAAAGTATGTATTTTTTATCAGTTTAGTTCTCAATATATAAATTTTTTTAATTTGGTCCCTAAAATATTCAATTCTTGTTTAATAGTCCATAACTCGACGGGTCTATTAAATTTTTTAACAAAAACTATCACATGTCATTCATTTAAATAGTATCATGTGATCAACACTTAATCACTTTTGTTGACGAGCAAAGAGCAGGCAAAGGGAAAAGAGAATCACCATCCATTGTCTTTTTGCAACACTAATATGGAAACAAACACCAAAAGGCAGAAATGGCACCACAGAAAATACAAACCGAATTTCACAATTCAGATAAATTACCAAAAAAAAAAAAATTAACAGATTTGACAAACTCCAACAAACTGTACCG